GGAAGGATGGAAGGCTGAGTCAACCTTGAGCCTGCTGAGATTCGAACTGCCAAATTGAAGGCAGCCAGCAGTCAGCAGAAGTAGCCTGCAGTACTGCACTCTATCCACTGCGCCACCATGGCTCAATTAAAACAGGGTACAGGCAGTCCTCGACTTATAACCACACTTGAGCCCCAAATTTCTATAGTTAAGCGAGACCTTGGTTAAGTGAGCTGTTGTGCCCCATTTTACAACCTTTCTTGCCACAGTTGTTAAGGGAACCACTGCCGTTGATAAGTTGTTAAGTGAATCTGGCTCCCCCCATTGGCTTTACCTGTCAGGAGGTCGCAAAAGGGGATTACATGACCTTGGGACACAGCAACGGTCATAAGTATGAACCAGTTTGCCAAGCATCTGAATTTTAATCCTATGATCATGGGGATGCTACAAAGGTTGTAACGGTGAAAAATGGGCATAAGTCTCTTCAGTGTCATCGTAACGTGGAACTATTACGAGTCGGGGACTATCTGAGCTCTTTGGAGACTTCCTCCCAATCCTGATGGTGCATCATGATTTTTAACATCGTTATATTATCCCCTGTCTCCTCTAACAGGGCGGTGCTTCCTTTCTCGGCCCAAATCCCAGTTGGTCAGCTGCCCTTCCACCCGCTTGTTATCTCTCGAAGAAGCACAAGCACGCACCCAGGCCCTCTGTAAGATCACCAAGCTGGAAGCCAGACGTGGATCTCCAGATCCACAGGATCAAGGGAAGCTCTCCGCTGTTTTGGGATCACCTAATACCAGGTAAGTGTGGTATGGCCCTTGTATGCCTTGTGGACTTCAACTCCCAGAATTCCTGAGGCAGCCATTTTTAATATGTAAGACTCGGGTTCTAAGGCAGAGGTGTGGAGCTATGTCCCCTGTATGACTTATGGACTTCAACTCCCATGCTGGCTCAGGAATTCTGGGAGTTGAAGTCCACAAGTCATACAGGGGCCATAGTTCCCCATAGAGAAGGGTTTAAAGATTAAAGTACAATTGAAACCAGAGATGCTTCTTTGGAGACTAATGAATAGGCAGTTAGAAAAATAAATGGAACTTTGTTCTTGCCCATGACAACTGCAGTGAGATTATTGTATCCTCCAAAGTGGGGAAGTTTGACCACAATAGAGGAATGGTTGGTGAAGATGATAGAGCTTGCAGAGATGGCTCAATGGATGTCTTTGTTTAGAGCAAGAACAATATCTACATTTATGGCTGACTGGAAACCCTTCATAGACTTTTTTGCATGAAGGGGAAAAATGCACTTATGATTTGTGGTTTTGAACTTTTGATGATTAGAAAAAATATATGTAACAGAAAAAGTGAGTTAAGAATAAGAGATAATTTTATAATCAGAACTTACTGCATATTTGCTGTAAAGAAAACCAGAAGCCTTTTTCTAGTGTTATCTTTTCTTTCTTTTTCTTCCTTTCTTTTCCTCATGTCCTCATTAGTTTTTATTAGTTTTTAATGTAACTTGTAATAAAATTTATTACTAAAAAGTAGAAACCAGCTCCCAGGAACTAATTGCAGTTCATTGTTTATTAATATTTGCTGTTGAAAGATTATGGTGATTTAGGGACCCAATCCTCATGTTTTCATGAAAGACTATTATCGGATTGTTATATACAATGAATTTGTAATACAGAGAGTCCTCGACCTACAACAATTCATTTAGTGACTGTTTGAAGTTACTACAG